TCAAAAAGGGGCAAAAATTTTAATATAGCAACACGTGTATGAAGGACCATTACTCAACCTGATTCTCTAAAGTCAGATAGATTTGATTCTAAATGTAAATAAAGCAAAGGCATTTGGTGCTCTGCTAGTCCTAGTGAAAATGAACAAAACAAAGGACAACTGAAATAACTTTCTGTTCTTAAGTCAAATTCTGTATGTGCTGTTGACCTTCTCTATTCTGTATAAGTGATAAAAATCACCAAACTGAAGATTTTTAACTGTAAAATATTGGGGTGATTATACATTTCTAATCATCTTAAATTTCTAAATACCTTAAACTATACAAAATCAGAAAAGTCTAGTTACCAAGGAAAATGCTTTCTTCTTTTTTTTTTTGGAGGCAGAGTCTTGCTTTATCCCTAGGCTGGAGTGCAGTGGCATGATCTCGGTTCACTGCAGCCTCTGCCTCCCGGGTTCAAGAGATTCTCCTGCCTCAGCCTCCCGAGTAGCTGGGATTACAGGTGCCTGCCACCACGCCCAGCTAATTTTTATATTTTTAGTAGAGATGGGGTTTTGCCATGTTGGCCAGGCTGGTCTCCAACTCCTGACCTCAGGTGATCTGTCCGCCTCGGCCTTCTAAAGTGCTGGGATTACAGGTGTGAGCCACTGCACCTGGCCTACTTTTTTTTGTTTTTTATTTTGAGACAGAGTCTCCCTCTGTCGCCCAGGTAGGAGTGCAGTGGTGTGATCTTGGCAATTCTCCTGCCTCAGCCTCCTGAGTAGCTGGGATTACAGGCGTGCGCCACGATGCCGATTAATTTTTTTTGTATTTTTAGCAGAGATGGGGTTTTCACCATATTGGCCAGGCTGGTCTTGAACTCCTTGACCTTGTGATCTGCCTGCCTCAGCCTCCCAAAGTGCTGCGATAACAGGAGTGAGCCACTGCGCCCTGCATCACTAATTTTAAACCATTTTATTCCCATTAATGATGGGAAGAAAATGAGAATAGGAACAGAATGTGGTATTTTTGTTCCACTAGCCTTTCCTTTACTGTGCATCTAACTAATTCTTTCCAACTAAAATATATAGAACTCATCATTTTTCTAAACTCCCATTTGTCTAAAACATAACACTCTGACAAAGTTCACAAAAATTCTAGTCCAGAAATTCTTTGAGATGTGTTAGGGAAAATAAATTAATAGGTACCACCTAGTAACTAACAAGTGTGAGTTTTCAATTACTTAAATCTATCCCTGACCTCATGCTCTGCCCGCTTCGGCCTCCCAAAGTGAAACCCCATCTCTATTAAAAATACAAAAAAAATTAAGCCGGGTATGGTGGTGTGCTCCTGTAATCCCAGCTACTCAGGAGGGCTGAGACAGGAGAATCTCTTGAACCCAGGAGGCGGAGGTTGCAGTGAGCCGAGATCCGGCCACTGCACTCCAGCTTGGGCGACAAAGCGAGACTCCATCTCAAAACAAAACAACAAAAAACAAAACAAAACAAAAAAAAACCCCAAAAAACAAAAAATCCTATCTGGGGGTATTTTGGATCAGCTAACCAATGTACTCAATCTGATAATCTGCTTTTTAAATTTACTTCTTATTTTATTTATTTTCTGAGACGGAGTCTCAAAAACTCAGCCTTGCTCTTTCACCCAGGCTGGAGCGCAGTGGCGTGATCTCGGCTCACTGCAACCTCCACCTCCTGATTTCAAGCCATTCTCCTGCCTCAGTCTCCCTAGTAGCTGGGACCACAGGTGTGCGCCACCATGCCTGGCTAATTTTTGTATTTTCAGTAGAGATGGGATTTCACCACGTTGGCCAGCCTGGTCTCGAACTCCTGACCTCAGGTGATTCGCCTGCCTTGGCCTCCCAAAGTGCTGGGATTACATGCGTGAGCCACCATGCCCGGCCGATAATCTGATTTTTTTTTTTTTTTTTTAGACGGGTTTTTTTTTTTTTTTTTTTTTTTTTTTTTTTTTTTTTTTTTTTTTTTTTTTTTTTTTTTTTTTTTTTGAGACTCACTCTCTCTCGCTCTGTCTCGCTCTGTCGCCCAGGCTGCAGTGCAGTGGTGTGATCTCCACTCACTGCAAGCTCCGCCTCCCAGGTTCACGCCACTCTCCTGCCTCAGCCTCTCGAGTGTAACTGGGATTACAGGCACCCACCACTACGCCTGGCTAATTTTTTTGTATTTTTAGTAGAGACGGGGTTTCACCAAGTTAGCCAGGATGGTCTCAATCTCCTGACCTCGTGATCTGCCTGCCTTGGCCTCCCAAAGTGCTGGGATTACAGGCGTGAGCCACCGCGCCCGGCCGATAATCTGTTTCTTAAACTATAAGATCCTAAAAGAGTATCTTGGTATTCAGACACAAAGAATGGTGCTCTACTATTATTTTTTTTGAAAATAATTTTTTTTGCCCTAAATTAAGATGACAGTTCCCTAAAAGGCTCACTTTGAAAATGGCCAAAGGGTAATGCCTAGGCCTGTCAAGGTTTACTTCTGAAATCAACATTCAGGTTTTACAATAGGAAGTTCATATTTTTGCTCTGAAAGACTTTTCCTTCATTCTGTTCTCTTAAGTCTCATAATTTCTACCATGAAAAAATGAGTCAACTAGATTGAGCGATAAAACCAGAACTTCCAGATCATTGCTTCCTTTGTCTTGACAATTATTTTTTAAATCTTCAAGGCTAGAGACTTTTAGTTTTCTTTCTTTAAAAATATGTATTTCACCTGGACAAAAGAAAACATATATGCTTTTAAGTAAATACTGGCTTTCTAACAATCAAGAGAGGCCAAGGAAAATTGCCAGGTTAGTCTTCAAATCTTTGGGAAACCATAAATTCATAAAGGAACCAAAGAAATCCAATAACTGTAGGTTACACTTGCCCTTAGAATTGCTAATTGCTATAAATTGCTTTAGTCAACAAAAAAGTAGTGATTTTTTATATCCTGAAGTGATGGCTAAATGCCATACTGTACTTACCTCCAAATAGTTCCAAATCTCTTAAGCCCTCAACAATGAACTTTTCCGAGACCCACCGCTAAAGAGGAAAACCCCAAAGAGAATTAGTATTTCTTCCAAGCCACAACAAATTAGCTATCAGCCTTTAGACAGACAGACAAAATCACAACTATGAAAACAGAATCATGCAGTACAGTTAGAAATCATTTCTTTTTTTTTTTGAGATGGAGTCTTGCTCTGTCACCCAGGCTGGAGTGCAGTGGCGTGATCTCGGCTCACTGCAAGCTCCGCCTCCTGGGTTCATGCCATTCTCCTGCCTCACCCTCCCGAGTAGCTGGGACTACAGGCGCCTGCCACCACGCCTGGCTAATTTTTTTGTGTGTGTTTTTAGTAGAGACGGGATTTCACCATGTTAGCCAGGGTGGTCTCGATCTCCTGACCTCGTGATCCGCCCGCCTTGGCCTCCCAAAGTGCTGGGATTACAGGCGTGAGCCACCACACCCGGCCAGGAATCATTTCTATGGAAAAGTTGTTAATAGAATCTTGAACTAAAAACAAGATTCCTTTCTCTACTCCTCTTTGCCTATTTGATGAATAATTCTTAAATCTGACAGATGAGAAATAGATAATACTGGCTCTAATAATGAAGACTTTTTTTGCCTTCCCTATATTGGTTCCATCTTACTCATTCTACATTACAGATGCCTTGGATCACTGACGTCAATTTGAAAACTATCACTGGAATTCATAACACAGAAAACAGAGATGGAACAGTAGTTATCCACAAAACCCTGTTAGTTTGTAAAACGACACACAACAAGTTGCATATTCTTTATCCACTAGGGGTTCTAAAGACATGGCTGCTTATATTTTCTGCCAAGTTCACAAGGGCCAAACTAGTAAGATCAAACTAGCAGGATCAATCTATGGCTCACTTTACTAGCCTATTTCAAATGAGTATTAGATTTCTGTCATTCTGATCAGTGGTTTTGTTTCACCTGAATTAGGCTACATTGAAACAGAAAAGGAGCTCGTATTTAAAAGCAATGGAATCAAGATTGTATTTCCCTTAAGGACTGGTGTTACACTTTGGCTTGGGGGCATTCTTTCCACTGGGCAGAGTTCAGGCTATGGAGACATTCCTTTTTTCCTCTTAATTAACAGTGAAGTTTACTCTCTCTAACATAAATTGTTCTTATATGCATAAACATTAGAAAAAAGATTAAGTATTAAGTAACATTCAGAAATAAGGTGCATGATACAGACTGTGAATTGGAATTACAGCATCATTCTGTCCTTCCCTATAACTATTTTTTCCGAATCAAAAAAGAAATAACATCCTAAATTTAAAACTTCATATAAAATTATATGCACTGCATCAAGAAACATAAATTATGCTTTAATATGTAAAGAAAGTGGTGTACTCATGTCTCATAGCACTTATACCCTGTTACAAAATTCTAAAATAATTACTATTGCATTTAGAAATTAGGTACTTGATAATAAAATAAGACACTCATGAAATAATGGGAATTTGTAAAGAAGCTAAATTTAGTATTGTTTTTGAGGTCATTTTTTCTGACGAAGTTTTGAAGTATAATAAAATCTTTCATGTTCAAAAAGTCTTCAATTAAAACTAATGATATTAATTAGAAAAAAGTGTCCTGGTAATTACAACTTGATTTTGAAAACTCATAAACTCAAGAGGGCGGGGGGTGGGTCATAAGCAGATAGGTATCTACACTGAGAAGTATTATTGACTCATTTAATGTTGTATGACTGATATTCATGAAATAAGCCACTTTCTTCTTATTTCTTCTCTATCAGACAAGCTGGTGGTAAATTTTGTGTCTCTGGTCAGCCTCTGTCTGCAAACTCTTCTCAGGAGTGGAGGCTGCACTACCTGCCTTACTTCCTACATTCCTCACTTCTGTATCATTCCGACCCTAACCACCTACAACATCTGCCAACACACACTGCTTTTCAGAAAACAAAAATAGTAAAGTCAGAAGAATAGAAAAACACTCACCCTGATTCGCTCTGGTTTACTTACAAGAAACGACATGAGTTCCTACTGTGTAGACCTACTTCAGTTTCAAAAACTTAAACCTAAAAGGAAGATAGAAACAGGTTGAGTTAGCAAAAATCTCCTTATATAGAAATACCTTCTGATTAACAAAAACTTATTACAGGTCTACCATTCAAAGCACTGGACTTCACCTATAAATTGCTAGGTTTGTTTAGAGAAACTTTAAGTGATGATAAATCTGAATATACTTTGGCCAAGTACATTATAAAATTCTGTAATTTCTGGCCGGGCGCAGTGGTTCATGTCTGTAATCCCAGCACTTTGGGAGGCCGAGGCGGGCGGATCACCTGAGGTCAGGAGTTCGACACCAGCCTGGCCAACATGGTGAAACCCCGACTCTATTAAAAAACAAAAAAAGCCAGGCAAGGTGGCATGTGGCTGTAATCCCAGCTACTTAAGAATCATTTGAACCCAGGAGGTGGAGATTGCAGTGAGCAGAGATCACACCATTGCATTCCAGCCTGGGTGACAGAGCAAGACTGTCTCAAAAAAATAAAATAAAATAATTTCTGTAGAAAGAGAAATGTGTTATGTGGTTTTAAATTAATTCCTAAATTTCTCTTGACTCAATCCCCCACTAACCTTTTCCCAGAAACAATTACCTTCAGTTATTTTCCATGGTTATCCTGCTTTTTATTTATTTACTTTTTGTAGAGACAGGGTCTCTCTATGTGGCCCAGACTGGTCTGGAACTCCTGGACTCAAGTGATCCTCCCACCTTGGCCTCCCGAAGTGTGGGGGTTACCAGATGAGCCACCATGCACAGTGTTATCCTGCTTTTTAATAATTATTCTTAATGTTTATATGGGTATGACTTAATTTTAACTTTTCAAATTTTCTTTACAGCTCCTTGCAGAGCAGGGCTAACTCATAGGCAGTGTACCCAGAGTCAGCCAGTTTTAACTTCCTACCATGGTAGATGAAGACAAAGCTTCTTACATGATTATCTTCCACTGTATCTCCTGCTCTCATTCCACCAACATAGCTCTGGTATAATTTTGCTTAAATCAATAGTCCACATTTATATTACTATGACTATGCAAATATGGTTCAAAGCTGAGGCAAATAGAAATACCTGTCTCGGCCGGGCCTGGTGGCTCAAGCCTGTAATCCCAGCACTTTGCGAGGCCGAGGTGGGTGGATCACTTGAGGTCAGGAGTTCCAGACGTTAGCCTGACCAACATGGTAAAACCCCGTCTCTACTAAAAATACACAAAAAATTAGCCAGGCGTGGTGGCGGGCGCCTGTTCCCAGCTACTTGGGAGGCTGAGAAAGGAGAATTGCTTGAACCCGGGAGGCGGAGGTTGCAGTAAACCAAGGTCGCGCCACTGCACTACAGCCTGGGTGACAGAGCTAGACTCCATCTCAAAACAAACAAACAAACAAACAAAAACAAAAACCAACCATGTCTCTTTTCCTGTTTTGTTTTGTTTTTTTCCCTTTTTTTTTTGAGATGGGAGTTTTGCTCTTGTTGTGCAGGCTGGAGTGCAGTTGCACGACCTTGACTCATGGCAACCTCTGCCTCCTAGGTTCAAGTGATTCTCCTGCCCCAGCCTCCTGAGTAGCTGGGATAACAGGTGCCTGCCACCGTGACTGGCTAATTTTTGTATTTAGTAGAGATGGGGTTTCACCATGTTGGTCAGGCTAGTCTTGAACTCCTGACCTCAGGTGATCCACCCGCCTCGGCCTCCCAAAGTGCTGGGATTATAGGCATGAGACACTGTGCCCGGACAATGTCTTTCTTTCCTTATACACCTATTTTTTCCTAGAGTTAATAACCACCTCATTTGTTCACTTGCTTGGTTTCTCATATAGCTATTATTAACTTTTTACAAATACACCAACATCTCTGCTATTTGACTTATCCATATATTTTTCCATACCCTCAAACCCATCAATTTCAATTTTCTCCTGGAAGTTGCCTTCATAGGGCCCTCCAACCTCCTACTACAATCTGGAGTAGTTGCTTTTTAGGCCAGTTGCACTTAGTTGACTTTTTTTTTTTTTTTTTTGAGGCAGGGTCTGGCTCTGTCATCCAGTCTGGAGTGCAGTGATGTGACCTCTGCTCACTGCAACCTCTGCCTCCAGGGCTCCAACCATCCTCCTACCTCAGTCTCCTGAGTAGCTGGGACTACAGGTACATGCCACCATGCCTAATTTTTTATTTTTTGTAGAGACGGGGCTTTGCCACATTGCCCAGGCTGGAGTGCGGTAGCACGATCCTGGCTCACTGCAACCTCCGTCTCCCAGGTTCAAGTGATTCTCCTGCTTCAGCCTCCCGAGTTACTGGGACTATAGGTGCGCACACCACTACGCCTGGCTAATTTTTTTGTATTTTTAGTAGAGACAGGGTTTCCCTATGTTGGCCAGGCTGGTCTCGAACCCTTGATCTCAGGTGATCTGCCCACCTCAGCCTCCCAAAGTGCTGGGATTACAGGCATGAGCCACTGCCCTGGTCTCAAACTCTTGAGCTCAAGCAATCTGTCTGCCTTGGCCTCCCACAAGTGCTAGGATTACAGGTGTGAGCCACCGTTCCTGGCCCTACCCTGATATATATATATACATATTTTTTTGAGATGGAGTCTCGCTCTGTTGCCAGGCTGGAGTGCAGTGGTGATCTTGGCTCACTGCAACCTCCGACTCCCGGATTCCAGCGATTCTCCTACCTCAGCCTCCCGAGTAGCTGGGATTACAGGCGCGTGCCACCACGCCCGGCTAAGTTTTGTATTTTTAGTAGAGATGGCGTTTCACCATGTTGGTCAGGATGGTCTCGATCTCCTGACCTTGTGATCTGCCCGCCTCGGCCTCCCAAAGTGCTGGGATTACAGGTGTGAGTCACTGCACCCGGTCCTGATATTCTTATAGAAGCTCCTTCTCCAACCCTAGCTAAGAATCACTCATTTATGTTGTCATAAAATTTTAAAAATAAAGAATTTATTTGAAAAAACATGATTAGAATGCATATTTAATAGTATCAAACACAAAACATCATGCAAAAGAAATTTACGAGGAAAAAAGGTCCATATCCCCATGTAGTCTACAATAGAAAGAGAAAATTAATGTAGATAAAGAGGCAGGTAGATGTTTTTATCTGCAAAAAAAGTTTCTATGGTCTGGAAAAATTTCAGAATTTAAAAATAAAATAAAATTTTCTTTCTTTCTTTCTTTTTTTTATGAGACAGGGTTTCATTCTATTGCCCAGGTTGGAGTGCAGTGGCACAATCTCAGCTCATGGCAACCTCTGCTTCCAAGGTTTAAGCGATTCTCCTGCCTCCGCCTCCCAAGTAGCTGGGACTACAGGTATGCATCACCATCCCTGGCTAATTTTTGTATTTTTAGTAGAGTGAGGGATTCACCATGTTAGCCAGGTTGGTCTCGAACTCCTGACCTCAAGTTATCTACCCGCCTCGGCCTCCCAAAGATCTGGGATTACAAGTGTCAGCCACCCCACCGGCCTAAAACAGAATGTATTTCAAACTAACTTGTGTATTTATAAACACCTATAGATGCTCAGACATCCACCTTTAAAAATTCTAATTCTGCAGGTCTGGGGAGGGCCTTGGACATCTATATAGTTTTAAAAGTTCTAGCTGCTACCACTACCACCATTCTTCCCCACCTCACCACAAAAACAACAACAAAAGCCATGCATTGTCAGGATTGAGAACCACTGAGAAAACAGATGGAGTAAGTTCCAGGCTCTTTTCTGCTTTTTCTAATCAGGTCTTGGAATAGTTCCTCAAATGTACAACTGATTAAAAATCTCCAGTTAAATGGATAGTAAGAATCTTAAGAATATGAATATATTGGCTGGGCGTGGTGGCTCATGCCTATAATCCTAGGACTTTCGGAGGCTGAGGTGGGTGGATCACCTGAGGTCAGGAGTTCAAGACCAGCCTGGCCAACATGGTGAAACCCCATCTCTACTAAAAATACAAAAATTAGCTGGGCTTGGTGGCAGGTGCCTGTAATCCCAGCTACTCGGGAGGCTGAGGCAGGATAATCGCTTGAACCCGGGAGGTGGAGGTTGCAGTGAGCCAAGATCGCACCATTGCACTCCAGCCTGGGGAACAAGAGCAAGACTTCGTCTCAAAAAAAAAATAAATAAATATTATGAATATACCTTGCTGTTTTTCCACTTGTAGGAATTTGCCCTAGGGAAAATTTATGTAGAAATTTAGTTACAAGGATATCTCCTATAGTATCACTGTCTATTATAGCAACCACTAGCCAAATGTGGTTAAACTTACAACTGAATTTGTAATAAATAAATTAAAATTTCAGTTCCTGTGGCTGGGTGTGGTGGCTCACACCTGTAATCCCAGCACTTTGAGAGGCTAAGTGGGGAGGATCACTTGAGCCCAGGAGTTCAAGACCAGCCTGGGAAACAGAGTGAGACCCCGTCTCTACCCCCACCCCAACACTGGCAAAAAAAAAAAAATTAGCCAGGTGTGGTACTGATACTCTTAGCTACTTGGGAGGCTGAGGTGGGAGGATCACCTGAGCCTGGGAAGTCAAGAGTGTGATGAGCTGTTACTGTACCACTATACTCCAGCCTGGGTGACAGAGAGACATCCTGTCTAAAAAAAAAAAAAAAAAAAATTCAGTTCCTCAATCACATTACATTTCAAGTTCTCAGGAGTCACATGTAGCTAGCAGCTTCTCTATTAGAAGATGAGAATGCCTGGGAAAGCACAGAACCAGCTGAATGTATCCATGGCTTATCTTTTTTGAAATTCTTTTTTTTCTTTTGAGACGGAATCTCGCGCTTGTGGCCCTGGCTGCAGTGCAGTGGCATGACGACGGTTCACTGCATCCTTGACCTCCCAGGCTCAAGCAATCCCCCACCTCAGCCTCCTGAGTAGCTGAGACCATAGGTATGTGTCACCATGCCCGACTAACTTTTTTTTCCTGAGAAAAAGTCTGGCTCTGTTGCCGAGGCTGGAGTACAGTGGCACAATCTCAAAGGCTCACCACAACCTCCACCTCCCAAGGTCAAGTGATGCTCCCACCTCAACCT